ATTTGTCTTTTCCAACCAAAAACATCCAAAAAACAGCTTGATTATTTAAAATGCAAGCATCCATAGCATTTTCATATTTTTCAACTACTACCTTTTCAATTGGCCCAAATGAATTAAATAAAAGATCACGGGGTGGATAGTTTGACAATAAATCTTTAATTCTTGCAAGCAACAGTCTTTGTCGACCTTTTATACACGCAATTGAAGCCCTAAATAATAATTTAAAATTGCATAAATTTGGATCTTAGTAAGAAATTCTAATAAATTTGTCAAACTCTACAAAATTTGAAAGTGCTTTGATATTGAATTTTGCAGTTACAATCTTTAAAAATAAAAAATCGTTTCTTCAGTATTGTTAATTATTATTCTTGCTATTGAAATAACCTAATTATCAATGAGTTTTCATATATGTACACGTTTCAATTTTGGCAAACATAAATAAATAAATAAAATATCGAGAATTATAAATAAATAAATAAAATCGATCCTATTGACATGACCTTTTGACTATTAATAAATAGTTTGTTATAATGTTATTTTCAATAATCAATAATTTTCTTATCGGCTACTCCACTTGTAGGCAGTGACACAAATCAATGCGTGGTTTTCCTTGTCAAACTTTTGGCTGAAGAGTTGGACTTGCAACACAGTCAACTCGACTTAAAGTACTTTATTTTTTAATTTAAAGGTTTCAACAAACCGCGTTAAAACAACTTTATTTTTAAGTAAGGACAACTAACTCGCAACGTCCCTACCTTTCATTATTATTGTGAAAAAAGTCTTTATCTCTCTTTTTTTTTTTTTGTATTTTCACATTTCATTGCGTAAAATGTCATTTTATCTATTTTCTCAATTAAAAATTGTGAAATAACGAATATACCTTTCTTTTTAATAAAACTAAAATAAAAAGAAAAAAATAATTGCAAACATAGTCTTAATTTTTTTTTTTAAAGAGCAAATGAGTCTCAAATAAATTATTAAAATGGTAATTAGCATATAATGTCCATACCTTTTATTATTATTGTGAAAAACGTCTATATCTTTTTTTTTTTTTTTGAATTAGGTGATAATTTTGTTAATTACAGAAATATACAAGAAAGTCTAATGTGATAATTGCCAAAGAATTAGTAAAACTTTATAAAGTCAGAACATAACCCCACAAATACAATTCTCTCTTCAATATTTTTCTTAAGGATATGAGGAAGTCATCACATCATCAAAGGAATTGGTTTCTAACCAAATGTGCAAGCATATAAAGCTAATAAGCATTTGGGCATATTATTTTCAATGCTCAACATAATTCAAAATCGATAAATATCCATATTATTGCAAAGTTCTTGCATGTCCAAATAAGAATCAATGAATCTTTTATTAAATTTTGGGACAGTTCCAGTGACAAAAATGGCAGGAGAAATTGTGTTGCCTAGGGGTGGAAGGTTAACTAAGGCTCAAACGCCCCTCGGAGTAATAAACATTGGGGTAAGTGGGAAAATAAAAGTATTATACTCAAAAGACTAAAAACTTAAATTAATAGGGGAAAACGCGGCATCATAGTTTGGGGGACGGAAGGAGATTTCTAATAAATTCGAAATTTTAGCATGATAAAAAATCGTCTCAGTGGGGCCATGATTTGTCATACGTGCATGCCAAAGGCGGAAAGTAGTATCAATTTTGAATGAAGTGAGAATACCTTTCTCGCGGATTGGCTTCTAAGGAAGAGGGTTCAGAAAAGGAGGATCTTGAGTGCAAGGGAATAGTTGGCTCACCGCTTTTTGCCCAACAGATTCAACATCATTAAATGACGGGTCTAGGTAGAACTCATGGAAGTCAGGGTTGACTGGTGAAAGGGAAGCTGGATTTATATACGGCTTGGTGATGAGGTTTTGAAAGTCTTCAAAACTAGGAGAGTTGTCGGAAGAGCTCTGAGAAGTCCCCATTCACTACAAGTTACAGTCTTCGTGGGGGGTTTGTGAGAAGCGTAGAAGAGAAGTGAGAAGATAAACAGTGATCTTTATAGGGAAAAAAGCACGCGATACAAGACGTGGGTATAATGGCGCGATGAAGTGGCATGTTATTTGGTTTATACGAATTGTGTGATATTACACTTTTCAGGATGTCAAGGGTTCCGCCCTTTTTTAGGATTTCATGCATCGTGGGAAAATATAAAGGAGGAATATGATTTGTCAGAAAATACATAGGAAGATTATGGCATTAGGTTAATACTTGATGTTAATTTTGCCATATTGTGGGAAATTGTTGACATTCAATATTGATGCCCAATTAATTGGTCCAAAAAATGAAGTCCAGTTAGGAGATTCAAAGGATGAACCCTAACGAGACCATTTAAAAACTCAAGATGGAATTATGTAATAGAGACCCATTATCGCTCAAGCCTACGAGACGCCCAAACACCAAAGATCTGGGCAAACCCATCATCGCTCAAGCTTGTGAGATGCCCAAGCTCTGGGCGAATATAATGTTTTGATTGCTATTCGAAGCAACAGTTATTGAAGCAGTTAATGGGTAATCTTATCACATTCCGCGATCCAAGAATCTCGATTGCAAGAAGTTAAGCGATGGGAGTAATAGCAACGGTTGAAAACGATAGTTTCTTAACAAGTCATCCATTATGGAGAAAGTGGGTAGTTACATGACGATGAGCAGTTTTCAAACGGTTATATAAGAAAAATTGTCAAAAAAGTATAAAAGAGCAAGAAGAATTTAGAAGAGGGGACGATCAAAACAACTTTCAAACATAGAATTATGTAATTTCATTTCTTTCTCTTGTTAACTTTCAATTATTTTACAAATTCAGTGTGCTTGCGCCCCTTGAAGACATTCGCTTCTTGTAAATTGTAAACTTCATAAATAAAACACCATTCGTTGAGATTTTGTCTCGAGAGATTGTTGTTCCTTACACAATCGTCTAAACCTTCTTTTAATTGTTAGCAATGATAGACCTTAAAAACTATTTTGAGGTTTTTTTTTTCTCGCCTATATCAATACTCGGCATTTTCTATAAACATTACATATGCAGAGTTAGTTAATATCCCACGATGGATAAAGAAGACAATGGTAGTGGTCAACGAAAAGTGGAAATAATATGATTTATTATGAATTAATGGACAGTATTGATAAATAAGGATAAGGGAAAAAATTTATATCTAAGAGATAAAGTATGCTCCATTTTAAAATTAAAAAATAAAGTTTAAAACTTAAAAGTCGGATATTAATTAAATATTATTTAAAAAATAATTAATTAATTAAATATATTAAGGTCACAAATTTATACAATTTTGCCACAAATTATAGAATTAGTTAGTTAGAAATTATTTTTCGATGACAACTAAAAAAATTGATAGGTTGCACACTATTCATTGGTCACAAATCAAACATTTTATAAATCACAAATTTTATAACTCGCAACTTATTTCACGATCACAGCAAGTGCGGAGCTAGGACCGGCAAGCACCGGCGGTAGCCAATGCTAGCTCCGCGGGTCTGAATAAATTTTTCCTGCCATTTTTTTAAATATAAAATAGAGCACAAAAATCACAGGGAAAGGGATTATTGCAGCCAGGGGAAGAAGATCATTGCTTCAGCAATTGTCAATTATTGCAGCCAATGTAGAAGTTCATTTGTATTTTGTATATATGAGATGCAGAGGAGCAGCAAAGAGAAGAAGTGAGAGAGAGAGAGAGAGGGAGAGAGAGTGTGTGGTAAACCGTGCCAAATCAATTTTCTTTTTTTGTTAGATAGCTTCTCACGTACAAAAAATAGAGTACGTAATTTAATTTCTTAAACATCATTAATCATTTCCAGAGATAATAATATAACTAAAGTCATTTATAGATCATCACAATAATTGCAGAAAAATTACGTACTTTGAAATGATTAAATGAAAACAATTTGAATAACACTGGTTTAAAGTATTTTATTTCAGAAACAATAAAAACTATACATAAAAATACTACTCTAGTTTATCTTGACCCAGCTATCATTTCGAATTATCTAACTCTCGTTATCCAAAAAGGAAAAACGTGACATGAACTAACGTCATTAAGCAAACCTCATGAACCCGATTTATTGGAAAGACTTTGAATCTCAAAATATATATTCGATTTCCTTAAAAATATCAACATTAAGAGTTTAGTTTTATCACATTATCATTTATTGAAAGGTTGATTTGCGGATGCATTAACATAAATATATGCGTTAAGTATTACGTGACATAGATTCATAACATGTATAGTAGAAATGTAACCAACCATATACTTGTTGTCGATTTTATCCTGCAAGTAAATGGATCATTTACAAGTGATATGACGATGAATAAATGCCAAACTCACGAGGACTCATTTTCTACATATTTTACATTTTGTCTATTAAAATAAACATTAGAAATAAGCATGCAAATTCTTCAATTAATCAAATCACGAAAAGCACTAGGAATTCAAATCCACCATTGTCAACATACTTTAATCCTCAATTGCCCATTATGATTGATATTTATTATATGTTTAATAACTTTCTCTCTAGAGATAAATTAATCCAAATTTTACCTACAATTCAATTATATCTCTATAATGGATGCAAATACATAAAAATCCATGACAAAAAATAGAATAACACAAAAGATCACATGTTTAATACAATGTGTTAATATATACCAAATCTATCAGAATCAATATAGATTACAAATACATTCCACTGGTGATCAAGCATCAAAATGGATAAAGGAGGATTTGGTTTCTACTCCTTACTATCCGTTGAAGATTCCAACTGGATTATGATGTCTACAATAATTATTTATCATAGGGATAAAAATAAAAAATTAATATAATTAAAGGGCCCGAGCTCCATTCAAACGGCCGGCAGAATGACCCAGCCCCCTATATTGCCGGCCCGAAACATTCCCCTACGGTATTGCACTCATTCTTGATTTCTCCCCCTATTCCTCAATATATCATTCATCTTTCTTCACACCAAATTGCTCCACCATGCAACCATATATGGAAGAAACAGCTGATAGCCTCGACAACACTCATAGCTTCGCCTCGTCCATCACGACCAATGCCTCGTCCGCCTCGACCGTTGTGCCGAGCATGCATCATGCAACACTTGATGACTTCACCGTCATTCAGAAGCTTGGGAGTGGTGACATAGGCACTGTGTATCTTGTGGAGGTTAAAGGGTCTAAAGGGTGCATGTTTGCAGCCAAGGTTATGGACAAAGAGGAGTTGGCATATAGGAATAAGGAGAGTAGGGCAGGGATAGAGAGGGAAATACTTGAAATGTTGGACCATCCATTTTTGCCCTCACTCTATACAATATTGGATTGTCCTAGGCGGTCTTGTTTGTTGACCGAGTATTGTCCCGGCGGTGACCTTCACGTTCTCCGGCAACGACAGCCTGGAAAAAGGTTTGATGAAGCTGCCGTCCGGTGAGTATTTGTTCACGATCCTCACTCCTCTATTTATCCACATTTTGTGATTGTTAAATTTACGGCACTTGAAGTATCTCATTAAAAAATTAAATTATTAGAAATTATTAATTATTCCATGCTAGATGGATTGTGAAAAAATTGTAATGTCAAAATTAAATGGGACAATAATTTCGTACCATAAATTGGTTGAAAATTATTCTGTTACACGATCATTTTCATTATGGGCCAATACGATTGACTTTGTGAGATAGTTCAATTAGAACAAGTTCAAAATTTGCTAAATCATTAATTGATTATTTAGTGAATATTAAACAATACTATATATTGACGTTTTTATGATTGTTACTGTTAATTATCAGGTTCTATGCATCTGAAGTGTTGGCTGCTCTAGAATATCTACACATGTTGGGGATAATTTACCGTGATTTGAAGCCCGAAAACATTTTAGTAAGGTCAGATGGTCATATAATGTTGACAGACTTTGATCTCTCGTTGAAGTGTGATAACTCTACGGCAACGGCAAAACTTATATATGACCATCCCCCATCTAAAACTTATCAGCCACGTCATCAAAGAACGGATCAATCAATTCGATTCTCAATGAAATCACGCATTCTACCAAGTTGCATCGTGCCACGGAATTCCTGCTTTTGTGGAAGGAAGAAGAGGTCAGGATACAATGGAAACCTAAAGATAGTAGCAGAGCCCATTGATGCTCGATCAATGTCCTTCGTAGGGACCCATGAGTACTTGGCCCCAGAAATTGTGACAGGAGAAGGTCACGGCAATGCAGTGGATTGGTGGACGTTAGGGATCTTTATATACGAACTTCTATATGGTATGACACCTTTTAAAGGGGCTGACAACGAGTTCACCCTAGCTAACATTGTGGCTCGGGGGCTCGAATACCCCAAGGAGCCAGTGGTAGCACCCTCAGCTAAGGATTTGATAAGCCAACTCTTGAACAAGGATCCCACCAGGAGAATGGGATCTATGATGGGAGCTGTAGCAATCAAGAACCACCCCTTCTTTCATGGGGTGAATTGGGCACTTTTGAGACGTACAAAACCTCCATATATTCCCCAACCCTTCAATTTTAGGGATATTGTTTCATCTATTGATAATTGCGATGTTAATGTAGAATATTATTAGCACAAGACCTATACATTTATTATTGTTTTATCGCTTTTAGCACGAGCTATGGACATTTTGACTAATGTCTCGATAGCATTCATGGATCTCATAAATCGAGTATTTAAGGACTATCTCGATTGTGGAAATTATCTAAATACTAATGATATGTTTGGTACAGATTTTTGTGAAGTTGGTTTGTAAGATTTTTGTAAAGTCGGTTTCTTCAAATTTATATCTGGTGCTTCTAAAGAAGTATATTTGATTGATTACAAACCAGATCGACATGATGTTCCTGACCGCTATTTCGCTTATCTAGGATTACTTGTTTCTCACTAGGTCATTCTTGTTGACACAAGTATACAGCGTCCAGCCTTTTTGGTAATCATAAACAAATCTGTTAAGCTTAAACGATGAATGGATCAAGAAAATTTAAATGTGTCTCCTATATGTGAGTCATTAACGTAATATTAATCATCACCTGTAAATGCTATTAATTTAAGATTTATATGTTTGGCTGTGTTTAGAAGGGTATATCGTTTCAAAAAATTTAAGTTGAAAAATTTATTTTCCGAAAAATGTCACTTTCATCGATGATTTTTTTTGTCGTAAAAAGTCATATTAAGTGGTTTTGTAACGGTTGTCGAAAAAAATTTCAAGGTAAAAAATTCTGTCGTTAAAAGTAAAACTTGGAGTAAATATGGCTAGGGTGCATAAAATTTTGTTCTTTTAACTTTTCATTCTACCCTCCGTTCTTGAATGGGTAAGTTTGACTTTTATTCTATTATATTTGACTTCTGTTATTAATAAATGAAGACACCTAGAGTGTTTATTATTGTTAACAAAGAAAACAAACTTTGAAAAATACATTAGACAAAATAAAAAATAACTTAATTTTTATGCTATGCATAGTAAAAACTACCGATAGTTGTCCTACATGACAAACACACGACAATTTGTTATTTGATACATTACTATTGTAATGTATCAAATAACAAATTGACATGTTCATGTTACATATGATGACTACCGATAGTTTTCACTATGAATAACATTATTATTATTATTTTTTAAGCACAATACATGTTCTTAAATTCTTATTTCCAAAGTGGTGAAGGGAAATACAAAGATGCCAACATATTTGGGAGAATGACGTGTAAATCTCCACATCATTTTTGCATCAATAGCATGAATTTTATCTTTTCAAAGTATCGATAAAACCTTCTGCAAGATTGGTCATCAAGAAAATGTGGTGGTCGATCTTAATGTGTGACACATAAAAGAAAAGAAGAAGAGTTGTTTAATAGAGGTATGTGTTGGGAAATTATATTTGACTTCTGTTATTAATAAATGAAGACACCTAGAGTGTTTATTATTGTTAACAAAGAAAACAAACTTTGAAAAATACATTAGACAAAATAAAAAATAACTTAATTTTTATGCTATGCATAGTGAAAACTACCGATAGTTGTCCTACATGACAAACACACGACAATTTGTTATTTGATACATTAATATTGTAATGTATCAAATAACAAATTGACATGTTCATGTTACATATGATGACTACCGATAATTTTCACTATGAATAACATTATTATTATTATTTTTTAAGCACAATACATGTTCTTAAATTCTTATTAATAACAAGTGTTACTTAATTCAAACATCTATGATCAAGCATCAAAATGGATAAAGTGAATAATAAATAGCCAAACCAAAATATATTTATCCTAGACTCAAGAGGTTTAATCTATCATGATTGGATAGAAAGAATGCATAATTTGGTAAAAATACATCATCGAGATTTCCAAAATAATTGAAGAAGAAGAGAGAATAAATCTTCAACCATTGAATCTCTTCAATGAATATTGAATGATCTTCCTTTAGGGGTGGACGCAAACCTTAAAAGTTAGGGGGGACACAATCGAACTTTCAAAGAAGTTGGGGAAAATTTTACAATTGAAAATTTATGTCCAAAAAAATCATACCCCATGTAATTTTACATCCAAAAATTTACTTGAGATATAACTTTTTCGAATGTAAAATTTCGAAAATTTTTGATGAATAAAAGTTATATCTCATGTAAATTTTTGGATGTAAATTTTTCAACAGTTTGGGGGAGGGGGGGGGGGGGNATCATGGGATGGGGGGGGGGGGGGGGGGGGAATCCCCCCTAGGTCCGCCCATGTTTTCCTTGCCTTGAGCAAGCAGCAGAGCTAGCTCCCGGTCAGCTAGTGTTGCTGCTAAATAATTGGCCTTCTTTTAAGAGCTTAATACATTTGGCCCAATTGAACGTATAACATACTTGCTGTCTTGCCCGGTTGTTGCCCCAATTGAATTCCAAAATCAAATGCAATACAACAATAGCTCAGGCATCAGCAAAGCCTATCTCTTACAGTCGTAAGTCGTATCTCCCTCCCGGCTCCTGCAACCTTGCCCCATTTAGTGATATTTACAAGGGTAAATTTAGCCCCGAATTTGAGGACTGAATTGGTCTATCTCAATATTTACAAGGTAAAATCTGTAGACCAATTTGTAGCCTCGACCGTGACATTCAGTGAGACTGTGACTGTGACCTCTACCATTGTCTGACGTCAGAGTCATCGACTGTGATATGGTGATTGTGAGTCTCTCATTTTTTTAGTCATTTTGTATTTTATATGTATTGATAATTTGATTGGTAATTTAATACGCGAGTTGTGTTGATTTATGAAAATTGGAGAATTTATGATAAATGAAAATTTGTAAATCTGTGATTAGTAATAAATGATAAATAGGAGAATTTGTGATTTGTGATAAACGATAAATTGGTATTGAAAATTGGAAATTGATAATAGTTTAAAATTGACTTTAATTTATGTTTAATCCATAATTTATATCTAATTTGCTGCCTTGGCACCTAAAATTGCATTTTAGGTCATCCATTCAAACTTGCACATTTTGGTCCCTCAATCACTATTTGTGTACACGGCTAGTCCCTCAGCTCAGGTTTTCATACGTCTTTGATCCCTACAACTTTAAATTATCCCAATGAGGTCCTATAACTTCCGATTGCCTACAAATTGATCCTTCATCTTCTAAACTCTTACACTTTGTTCCTTTAATTTCTATTTTCTTTAAATTTGATCCTCTAAAATGCCGAGGATGTTCGAGTTGGTCCCTAAACTTCTCCAAAAGAAGAATTTTAACTCCCAAACTTGTGAGTTCACCCAAATTGTACTTTTAAAGTTTCCAATCAAGTCCAAACTCCATAGTAGATCTTAAATTTTATCATTTCACAGTTCACCTCTAAGTTGGGGTTTTCACATCGAAAAACAATATATATACTAACTAGATTTAAATGCCTAGATATTAGTGTAAAACACACTTATCAATGCTTCCCGAACTTACACTTTTACTAGCCCCAAACAAACATTCTACTGAACTACTCTAGCAAAAAGAAATCAAAGGCTAATTCATTAGATAGCTCAACAAGAAGAATTCACATTTAAAATTGAGAAATTCATAATATGTTTTCCCACAACGTCACCAAATAATTTTAACTTATCAAATGCTTGATCGGCGTGCGTATGAATAACCAAATTTAATATCACATATATCTAGTCAAGATTTTATAAAAGAGAACACTTTTCAAGATTTTATAAAAGAGAACAATTTTAATTGAATCAAACATGCGCATTATTTGTAAAGGTAGCTTTCACTTCACTAATTACTCTCCCATTCAAGTTTGGTTGAATCATATCAATAAAAGCAATGGATTAGATACATAAAATATTCATTTAGACACTGAAACAAGTCAAACACACTAGTTATCTAAATCCAGCATATCTTGCATTCTTTTATATTTATTTTCGAGATATCTATTTAGTATTCTCATTGGGCTCTTTTTTAGGGTAACTTTCGTTTGTGTAAACATGACAATTTTTTTCCATTTTGGCCATGACTAGTAGAATGCTTTTTTGGAACGAGTATTTGGAATTAGATTCGTATCATACAGTCTGTTGCGAAAGCTTGCTCCAAGGATAGTCAAAACGATATTTTTCGGGCTCAGTTTCACCTTACTTTTCTATATCAAACAACCAATCCAAACGGTTCCAACCCACAACCAATATATTCACTTCAGTTACTCCTCAATCTCACTCACAAAAGATAAGATAATGGCAATAATTTGCAGCCACAAAGACAAGAAGAAAAATAATCAAACAAGGCAAGAAACGGGACCAAAATACCAAGGAAGCCACATGTTTTTTTCATCGAAAGAGGCAGTTGGTTTTCTCTCTTCTCGCACACGGTTTCTTTCTTCTCTTTTCTCACAAATCACCCACTCAACGGATAGGGCAAAAACATCACACACACACACACACACACAGAGTTTATGTTAGGTTTTAGTTAGGCCAATAAAAGAGGTTAAATGGGCCAAAATTTAAAGTCATTCAAAAGGTAATATAAATGGGCCATAAAGAATATTAATTATTTAAGTTACTTCCAACGACTCACGTTGTTTTCGGGTTGAGCCTTTGGACTTGATTGTTGGTAATAATTTAATCCAACGTTTACATCATCGTTCGAGATTTATTGGGTTTCAAAACTTACAAGCAGTCAAAACACAAAGTTAATGCTTGTATAATCAATGCAATCAATAAAATTGGAATCACGGACCTTACCTCGTGTTTCGAACCCGGAACACATATCGTCCTGCTCCATGTACTCACTAGGGTTAAGGTCACAAACAAATACTCAAGTAGAAGCGATAATCACAAGAATTAATCAAGAGTAAATAAAGATGCAATTGAGATATCATATAGTATAACACATATCTTTTCCAAAATACGTTCATACAGAACAACAGATTCACACTAAGTCAATCAATGAAACTGTGAAAACACATATGCAACAAATGCATAAATGATCCTACGAAAAGATCTCACCACAATTATCCTATCACATTCCGTGTTGCTCACATCTCGAGAACGCATATCTTACCTCATCGCCCACCAAGCTCACTAGACTGATCACTC